TGAAACGAGAGCAACTCACCCAGGCCTGTGTTATCCTGGGAGTCATGGATGCAGAGCCTGAACTAGGAAGAAAGTACATTCAGGGCAGTGCAACACACCTAATCAGTGTCATTGTGCCACACAGGCATGTGTGACCCAGAAGAGAATTCCTGCAGGAACATGACCACAGCTGAAGCAGAGGTGAAATTCTCCTCCAAACCCAGATCTTTCAGCAACACTGATAAATTCATTCACAAAACAGACACACATCAGATTTCTGTTGAAGCAGGGGAAGGCAACATCGGTGCAAACTAAATAAAATAACACAGAACACTCAAGATTTCCTCTATGTCCCAGTAGAAACTAGTCAGGAAAAAGATGCTGTCAGTGTGATTACCTGACACACCAGAGAACAAACTGCCTCTGCCATCTCAGCTGGTACCACCAAACCACACAATTAATTCAGCTCCTTCACCACCATAAACTATTCTGGTTCAGGTTGTTTGGCCGGTAGAACGACTATCACACCTGGATTGGTTTTTTAAAATACATTTATTTTTTGCTAATTGAGCCCCAGTCACACACCAGACACACAGCTGACAGCAGCAGAAACACACTGTACCACCAGCTCACTGCTTCCCTACTTGGAACTTCTCATTTAGGCCTACTGACCCAGCTCCCAAGTCCCAGCCATATGTGGGATATTTGAGTAAGTCAAATCATGCTCTACAGAAGAAAAATAATCATCTTTTAAGGGTCCTTCAGCAAGAGAGCGTCACTGACACAGCAGGAGCACATAATGAGCTGGAAGTTTCCAGGAAAAGCATGGCAGGAGATAGGATTTAAGCCTCACCCACCACACAGGGGTCATGCCTCCTCCCTGGGCCTCAGGCCAGCACAGACAACACATGCACTTGAGGCCACACAAGTCCAGGTGAGCCTCACCCTGCTGCCCATGTGCCTTCCCAAACCCCTTAAGCACAGAGCTCATGAGCCTGCAGGCATTTATCCAGCTTAGCACATTCTGCTGGAGCCCAGCCCACCTGCACCAGGACACCAACTCCTCCTGATTTTTATTTGAGATGATGAGCATTTTTAAACTGACAAGTTCCTGGCTGATAGCCCCCTTCACCTGCCATATCTTTATCCAGATGTTTTGGGTTAGTCTTGGATCACTGCCCACTCAAACCAGCACCTTGAGCTGCATCCTGCACAGCTGTGGGAATAAATGTGTCAGGATGAGGGAGGAGGTGGGACTGCTGCTGATGCCAAATTAAAACATCCACCAAAGCACTTGGGAACTCCCCAGCACTCAGAACTGCTCATTCTGAGGCCAAAGCTTAATGGCAAGAACCACACAGCCTCACATCAAACGATTCCAGAGGAATAAAGGACAAGGATTCACCTTTACGGGCAGCACCTTGAAGGTGAGGTTACAGGTACTGCTGTGACACAGAGAGGGAATCCAACACAGAGCTGCCACTTGCAGGGCTTGCAACTGCCTCAAAACAGCATGGGAGACACAGCAGCTTCCCTCCATCCCTGGGATCTCTGGGAATATCACCTCAGAGTCTAAGAGCAGTTGCTCCTAAGCTGTTCCCAGTTACAGCCCAATTCCCAGACCAGTGGATTCATGCAGTCTCAGCACAAACACCAGAGCTCCTGACAGGGTCTGACTGGGACCTGAATGCTGGAACAGCTCCCTTCAGAAGAAAACACTGGGAAGAGACACAGGCACAGGAAGCCTGAAGCTGGAGCTGGTTCCCTCAGCTTTCACAGCCACTCAAATCAAGACTGGTAACACACAGTGTTTCAGGTGCTCTGCTTGTCACAGACACGCAGAAAAAAACCTTTTGTGACAGAAACTACACTGACACCAGTTTCATGTTGCTATCCCAAAGCTCCTTCCCCAGCTTCAGCCTCCAACCTCTCTTTCCAGAGCTCAGCAGCCAAATTCCCTTCATTAGGGCAAACTCGGTGACACAACAGGAGCCACAAAGCCACCTAAACCAAGCCCACACCTCTGTGCAGGCTGCATCCTTCCACCACCAGCCTGCTTGGGTTGTTCAACCCTGCTGCCAGGAAAAGCCCTTCCCTTCTCCAGCTGCAACAGAACCAAGACTGGAACAGGATTGTTTCAAGGCCGCTACTGACCAGTCTCTGGCTGTAACGGATCCGTTCTTCCTCGGGCTCCATCTCCGACTCCTCGGAAGAGAGCGAGAAGGACACGCCAGGACTGCTGTCGTCGTCCTCTTCCTCCTTGGAAGCCAGAGGCAAACAGTGAGAAAGGGCACAGGGACACCCACACCCCTCACTTCCCTTCTCCTCTTGGGGCCAGCCCCACCCCGCTCTGGGAGGAGAGAACCCACTGGTGAGCCCACCCCAACTTTTAAGGCTCCTATTTAGAATAAATGTCAGGGTAAACGACTTCAGCAGCTCTACTGTAACACAACAGGAGCTGCAGGTCTCCCACCCTGGCTCCACACTACCACCAGCAGCTCCTCTGGCCCACAGTGGGACAAAAACCAGGGAAAGTGCTGTCAAACCCTGGCTTCTCCAAAATTAAACACTGGAGAGCAAACTTCTCCAAACAACACAATCACTGTCCTTGGGATATCCTGTACCGTGGCACCTGGGAGAAACTACAGTGGTACAGGGTATGTCCCATGATCAGGGAAGGCATGTGGGATCTCTCCTACATACAGCACCAAGCAGGGAAGCAGTTAGGGATCTAACTCCTGGCTGGAGGAGACCTAAATGCTGAGCTCTCCAAATGTGCCACCTTGTGACACCACACACCAACCTGGGAAAACCTCCCAGGGCGTCAGATGGCACCTACAATTTTTTTTTTTTAAAGGGACAGAAACCAACCGAAGCCTGGGTATGGCACGGCTCTTAATCCCCAGGACTATGCCTAAATCAGACCTTCGGGGAGAAGAATCGGGGAACAGGATCGAGGAAGGGGATCCGCCATCCCCCTCGCAGTGTTACAGAACCGCTACGACCACGCAGGGAGAACTCGCTCCATCCTGCTCCTCCCCGACCCCCGGCTTCGACAGCCGAGCGCTCCCAGTCCCGCCAGCACCTTCCCCACCCCTGCCTCCCTTGGAACCACGGCACCAGGACTCCCGGCTCGGCCGAGGGAAGCAGTTTCCCCACACTTGCCGAACTCTGTTTATAAACAGCCGGACAACCGGAGCTCAGCGCGCCGGCCCCGCCGCGGGGGAGGGGGCACCCCCGGCCCGCCGGGCCACCCCAGCCCGCCCCCGCCGGGCCAGCACGGGAGGCGGGAGGGAGGGACGGTCCCCGGGGAGCTGTCAGCCGGCACCCGCCGCCCCCTCCTCAACTTCCCGACGCGGCCTCCCGGGGCCCGGCAAGGGGAGACCCGCCCGCGCCCGCTCCCGCCCGGCCGCGCTCCGCGGCCCCGCACAAACTCGGGGGTCGCCGGTGACCCCGCGGTGCTCACCAGGTCTCTCCTGCGCCTTTGTCCTCTTCTACCGCCGGCACGGGGGGGGGAACAGAACAGACGGTGGAGGAGGAATCCCCCGGTCAGCAGCGATCGCGCCCCGGCCCCGCCGCGCCCCCGGCCCCGCCGC